ATACTGTCGGTGAACATATCAGCGACCATGGAGTAAAGGGCCTGAGTGTACTCGGGCTTCTGAGCGAGCTGGGGAGCACCAAATTGGACAAAGTTATCCAGAGCCGGCAGCATATCCTCGAGGTAGTACTCAGCACCGGCCTTGAAAGTAGTGTGGATCAACTCAAAGGCCTGCCACATAGTGGGAGAGATGGACTTGGCAGCAAAAGTGCAGCTATCGATGATTTCGAAAACTTCGTTGTAGAGGTCGTAAAGCTTGTTCTCCAGGGTAACCTTGATGACGGGCATAAGGACAGCCTCGATGTGGAGCAGGACGTCAGGAGTGCTCTCGAGTGTAAGGATCAGAGTTCCGATGGTCTGCAGGACACCCAGAGCAGTGATGCTCTTGTCGTCATACTCGTTATAGAGCTCGCCGTCATCACCGACCTTGCTCTCCTTCTCGAGAAGCTCGCGCACAATTCTCATATAAGTGTCTCGGAGCTGCTCACTCAGTGCGACAGCAAAAGGAGTGAGCTCGGTGGCGAAGACCTCGACAAAGTCCTCCATGACGTTGGCGAGCGCATCGATATCAGCCTCGTTGGCAAGCTTGAGCAACTGCTGCATAATCGTAGGAATGTTTTGTTGCATGCTTGTTCGAATGACATCGTGGCGGATAAGAGGCTGGAGAGCGAGAGCGGCCGTGACACGAACCGGGAGATCAGGATCGGCCATACAATCCAGGATGTGTCGGTAGATAGTAAGGAGGTTGTTCTGATCCTGGAAGTTGAGCTGCTCGAACTTCTCGATGGTGTCACAAGCACGAGCGCGGAGGTAACCCTGTGGGCTGGTGAAGTCGGGGAAGACATAACGGACGAGGAAGTATTCGACCTGATCAGCAATGGGGCTCTTCTTGCCCAAAATAACCGGCGCCAGGGTAGCGATCATGCGCAGAGCACCCTCCTTGGCAATGTGGTTCTTCTGATCGTCCGCAGCCTGCTCGTACTCGGTGACAACGGCATTGACGAACTTGAGGATCTCGAAGGTCTCCTTGCGACGGTTCTTTGTAAGGTTGACCAGGAAGTTAGTAGCGGCGACATCAGGAGCAGACGCTTCCTCGAAGTAGTTAAGCTTTCGGTGAAGGTACTCATCGGGCTCATCCTGGAATTGCTCGACATCCTCCTCGGTAAGGCAAAGGACGGGGAAGACAAAGTGGGTGACAAGGTTTGTAAGATGAGGCTTAAGATGTGTCCACATTTCCTTGGGTCGTACGGACTCGTCGAGGAAGACCAGAGTATAGGAAAGACAAGGTCGGCTGAGCCAAGAGGTTTTGGCAACCCATTTCTCGATCTCTTGGAGGTAGTGCTTGAGGATCTCGGGGGCAATGTTCGCGGTGAAGTCCTTGGCGAAAGCAAGTGCGTCTTCGCCCTTACCAGGACTGGCAGGGTTGCCATGTCTGAAAAGTACATGTTAGCTAAAGTCACCAACGTTCAGCATATACAAGCAGTCCTACCGAATGAAGAGGCGGTTCAGGTTGAAGAAAGCCCACTTCTTAGCCTTCCACCAGTGATGTTTCTCACGTTCGTGTTGATCGCCCTGCATAGCATTGGCGGGGCAAGCCTTGGAAACCGTGTGTAGGAAAACAGTGCACCAAGCGATGTTGGTGTCACGTTGTCGTAGCGAAGGCGAAAGTTCCAACTGCGAATAAGGTCAATACGTGGCTCATGAGCAGATATATCACATCCAGGGGAGTGCGCACCCATGTCGCATGCTTGTAGGCCTTGAGGGCCAAGTGAAGCATCTCACCAGCCTCATCACTCTCCTGGTTCACCAACTCGTTGCAGATGGCGAGAAGACGGGGAAATGTTGCCTCCACAATCTTGTCAAAGTGTTGTCGGTCATCGCTGTCGGTTGCTTTGTAGCGGAACGCACGGCAGATGGCGAGCAGACACTGGAGACCAGCAAGAACGGAACCGGGGTTATTCGTGTTTAGAAGTTCGACGGTGAAGTCCATGAACTTGGGCCAACGAGCGGGGAAGTCATATTGGAGGATTCGTTGGAGGACGGGAATGAGCTGCTGGCGGACGAGGGTTTCGGACGTAGCGAGGATTGGCAGAAGGCGATCTCGTACACGAGCCTTCTCTTCTTCAGGGATTATAGCGGTGGGGGGGTCGGGAGAGTACCCCTCATTATTGTACCATGATCGATTGACACGGTTCTTGACATAAATCACGGCTAGAGTGGAATGTTGGTCAGAGGTGAACTGATGAGGGAGCGCACAAACAGGCTGGATAGAGGGAGGACACGAGAATTGGTAGACATACTCGAAAGGCGGACACTAGCCTCCTGTTCGGCTTGTAAAATATCGAGCAGACATTCGAGAAATCCGGGCTGTTCTTCAATCTAGAAAGGTAGACGGGAACAAATTAGCATCTTGGCAACTTTTGTGGAATTGGAGGCTGGCGCAAGGGACACAGCTTCACAAAGAGGCGTCGGAGGAGGAAACCCAAAGTAGGTGGAAGAGAAGCCAGCCAGCCAGCCATCGCATCAAAGAGCAGAGCTCGATGGCTGGACGATTCTCTACCAATGTACGAGCACAGAGGGGGTTCCGTTCCCTCGACCACCTCGACCAAAGACGCAAACGCAAGCACAAACGCAGGACGCACCTGTTTCAACTGAAGCTCAGCACGCCTTCGACTGTCTGCATCAGGGTCCAAGCTAGTGGCAAGCAAGGACCTCACAGCGGCGGGATCCATGATGAAGGGTGGATATGGAGAGAAGTCGACGTCGAGGCCGAAGGGGATGGGAGTGTGAGGTTGGAAGAAAGGCGGGCGAGAGAGGCGGAATCAGGATCTGTCAAGTCTGGGTCTGGATAAGGATGGCGAGCGACAGATGGCGGGGCATCTAGAGACAGCCCAAAAAAAGTACCCCAAAGAAAAAGCACGAGCAAGCAAGCAAGCAAGCAAATCCGTCCAGGCCAGGCCAGCTAACTTAAGTCCACAGTCCACAGTCTAACGACTACGAGACCACGGTGTGAAGCAGAAGGAGGCTCAATAGGTAGTCGAGCGAGTTGGCGAGTTGAGCTGTGCTGTGCTGAATTAAGTTGACGCCTTGGGAAATGCGACAGGGACTTTTTGTTGGTCAAGGTTTTTTTTTGGTCCCTTGGTGCTTTTTCCTTGAAAAAAAGAGCTGAAATATTAGGTCCCGATGGACGATGCCAGAGGCCCAAAAAGTTGTACCTAGTCGGCAGAAAGTACCACCAGGGCCGTCGGCGAGGTGTGTGTGCGAGTGTCCAGGGGCTCGAAAAGATGGGATATGGGGGTTCTCAGGTTCTGATTGGGGCCGGGTAGGGCTCCAGGCCAAAGTACGGTACGCGGTGCGGGTTTGTGGGTGGGACACAATTCGCCCGTCAATCGGCGGCGGAAGCTTTCATCAAAAGCTGGAGACGGCGTCGGGGGAGGGACGGAGTCGAATGAAGTCGGGCAGTGAACGAACGAACGAACGAACTGGAGGGCACACTTTTTGGTGGCAGGTGGGTCAGTCTCTATTTTTTCTTTCCTTTCTTTCTTTTCTTCGGCGGGTATAAGATTAAACAAGGATCGATGTCATAACGTTTCTCGCTATAACGTTTATCTGGAGAAGGTTACAAGAGACAAAGCAAGACGATAATCAACGGGTGATTTGTAGAAGCCCAATCACTGGACGACTCTCATTCACTGCCCAGCAAGAGCCGCCATTGATGTAAGGGAGACACACATTCACTGTTTACACAAAGTCAACCCCCTTGAAAATACCTAGGTAAATGACAGACAGGCAGCTGAATGAATGGATGCGTGCAGTGATGCAGTGATGCACCAGAACCCAACATAACATAACATCCAAGGCAATGTCAATTGTGGCAGCTCAAATGCAAGGGTTCTCACGTTCAACACACTGCAACCAAACAAGCCTCCGAGTCAATGGCAATCCAATTTACTCCAGGTAACCAATGGCTGTGGTACCTCCCGACGCACCAAAACTTGGCGACTGGGTCAAGTACCGTAAGCACCGAACCCATCCACAGCCACAGCCACAGTACCTCACAGGGCAGCACGAGTATGCCACGAGAAATGCACGAGGTCACCCATGGCAAAATGGACGATCACTTTCAGTTTTAGGTAGGGTTGGGTCGGGTCAGGCATGTCTCATTTCAGAAAGGCCAACAAGCGCTTTTCCCAGAAGATAACAAGGTACCTACATACAGATATCTGAGGTAAAATTACTAGCACTTGGTGGCATGTCACTGATATTACAGGCTGTAAATCTGAAGGATCACTTATCATCCGTACTCCGTAATCACCTGACAAATCCCCGCGATAAAAGGACCGTCATAACAACAGGGAGAAAAAAAACAGAAACAACAGAACAAAACAATCAAAATAGGCAAAACAAATCAAACCAAAGAAAGAGAAAAAACCAGTCAAATTGCAGGGTCCAACACCATAATCACTGGTGCCCCGCCATTTCCCTCACCGCTTTTGGCTTAGATGCAGAAACTCCAAATCTGTCGGTTCTTCAGCGGGCCTTTGAGACGTCACGATCGTCATTTCTTTATTTCTGCAACACAAATAAAAAAAATAAAAACATAACATGATTCAAGTAGGTATGTAGAATTTGCTCTATATCCTGACATTCAGTTGTGGCAACGCTTCACCGTTGCATGAATTAATGCCGGCTCAATAGTTCCAGGAAGAGGCTATTGTGAGACATCGGATTGGTTGCATTGGCATTGACCTCATTCATGCGGCTAGTGAGTGTCACCTGAGTATAGATGTAGAAGCTATACAAACTTAACGCCTTTCGATTGTGCTATCTGTCAAACTCCCGTATGCCTTTAACAAAGCAATGTATTTGCCACAATGACACATTGTTCAAGTAGTTCTCCAGGGAGAGCTAGAGAGCGAGCTCGAGCCACACTGTGGCATGTCGACGTTAGAGGCTGGCCCTTCCACCATACACCAAAAGACATTGAAGTGGTGACCACCACTACTCCGGAATCTCCTCCCATGAAGCCTCCAAGAACCTATGGCCCGCGATGTCGGGATGGTTCTCTGGGTTGAGGTCCTCAGGAGGCTCGTCAAACATAGTGAAGCGCGCGTCGAGGAGGTTTGGGCGTTCAGGGACAACCCCAGTGTGATCGTACCCGAACTCGAGGTACACGGCCTTTCGCCCCTGACCCCGAGAAGCATAGGTTGCTGCAACCCGCCGAGGCGCACTTCCCCCAGTGCTTCCCGGAGATCTCTTGCGAAGCGGAACAGCATGCCAGAAGTAATCTCTGGCTTATGCTCCAATCGACAGCAAGTCACCTCGACAACACCCACCAGGTCCACAGAGCCACCAAAGAAGTCCTCAACACAGTATCTCAAACCGGGGATCGGAGGCATTGCGCCCAATGGGTCGAACTGACCCAAAGACCCCGAGGGAGCAGGATTGCGAAAGGCAAAGGTATCAACGCCTACTGGGGCATCACTCCCGTAGTATATTGTCCTCTCTGATCCTCGGGGAAGGTCAGCCAGGACCCATGTCGTCTCGTGGAGGCTAATTGCATGAGCATGGCATATTTCCCTGCCTTTGCTTGTGCGGAACTGTTCCAGTTTGTCAGCTCTACTGTGGGTATTAGACATGGTTGAAAAGAGCTCACCCCAGGACCGCCTACAACATTCTGGGTGATGCCTACCCAGACCTCCGACACTGTCTCGCCGTTATCAAATGGAGTATAGAGACTGGCTGAGTTTGGGACGAGGCTTTCTGGGCCGCCGTAACCATCTTCGAGTACATGTATATGTGCTCTGGTGAGAATTATAGCCTAGAAAGTCGTGATCCCAACAAGGTCTGCCCGCCGGCTGGGACCATCGTCGTTGTCGTGGCCAGATGTATGAGATATCTATATAATTAAAAAGATCCCACAGTTCTTGTATACTGCTATCGAGTGATTTACCGAAGTACTTTACTATAATGCAAACAAGTAATCAATGCTACCTGCTTCCATTTCCCTGGGTTGTGTACGGTATAAACGCAAGGGGTAGACTGTCGTATTGAGGAGAATGTATATATAAGAGAGATACATAAGATAAAGTGATGATGTTTGAAAAAACATATTTTACTGACGAGAGACAAAGGAGAGTACCGGTTATTTAATCGGGTTGCTGCAGCCTCCTTTCCATACTTGTAGCATCTGACTTAATGATATAGAGGCAACCCTTTCTCTTGCGTAACATTCATGCGGCGATGGTTGCTTGGTTGAATGTATCTTGTATAAAAATATTTAAGTAAATTAATCAAGGCTAGTAATAACGAACCATCTCTGCTAGGGTTTTCTTAGTCTAAGCTGCGTCCATCACCCTTCTACTGGATGAATGAGTGCCTGACTAAAGTAGTACTGCTCTCTCCAACTTCTGGCAATAATCAATCTAGTTGGCTACCCGTTTCTGTCTACAGTGAGTCCTTTTTGGGGTCGTCTTGCAGCCCTACAATGATAACGGGTTTGCAAGTAGCCGAGCGAGAGGTGTTCTTCCAATTCCCACTTGAAAATGGACTTTATGCTCGTTTCTTTGAAGAGTGTTCCTGATCTATACTGGAAGAAGAGATCCTAAGGGTTACGTTTAGTGGCAAAGTAGTTCCAAGCCCGGTCTGGGGATGTCTAAGTAACTACTTACACCCATCGCATCGCCATTGCTGCCAATGCTTCCCCACCAGATCTCGGCAATTGTCTCGTTGCCGTCGAGGGGGGTATAGATCCACGCTGCATCATCAACTGTCTGAGAGTAAGGGGCCAGGGACTTGTCGTCATTATCATGACTGTGAATCACCATGGTTGCGTGTTCCCAATAAGTCGATATACCGCTGTAAGACCCTTTCAAGATGACAGGTGCCATTCGCGCTGGATACGAGTGTGGCTCTCCCACCCAGCGGACTGCGATGTGGTGGGTTGGGAATGGCCATGCAATTTGATGATAACGAGGTCCCCGCAACAATGTACAGAAAGTGCAAGGGCCTACTGGAGACAGGCTCCGAAGTATGATCTCCTGTTTGGATATTAGACAGTGGGTTTCCTGTCGTGAGTTATAAACTTACATCATTAGTTGCCATGATCGAGGTATATGGCTCTCCACCATATTCCAGCAACTTGCTCAGCTTGAAAGATATGGCACAAGCCAGCAACTACCAAGCCAATGACACCAAGGTGGCACTCGGCAATGTGGACGACATGCGCTGTTTCTCCAGGATCAAGTACAAACAGCGCCGATGAGTTGCCTGGCTGCTGCTCCTAACCGTTCGACACAGACGAAACGTACTTCCATCCTTGGAACAGAGAGCAGGTGACCTTAACTTTGCCCTTCAGGACAAATTTGGTACGGGAAGCCCTGCGAAGCATCGACTCGATCTCCCTCACTACATAGCGTGAGACCAAATATTGGCCAATGCCTCGCAGGACTTCCGACGTCCTGCTGAGTTCTTGCTCAGCCTTTGTTTCGCTTAGGGCGAAACAAAGTGACAGTCCCTCAGCAATCATTGCCCCAGCCCATCTCGTGACCCTCGCATGCTCTTGTTGCTTCTGCCCGGGCTCGAAGCCGAAATCGAGACTTCTTTGTATCGCACTTGGTAGGCGACTTAGAACCATTTGTCCACATTCTGTGTGAGCTGCTATAGACATCAGTATCAATTCCAGCTTCAAGGTTGAAAGAGGGACTATATACCTGGGCCGGTCGCGTTGACCGGCAAGGCGGAAAGTCCGCAGCGATTATTCACTTTTTTATATTCCATTAAATTGGAACCACAGGCGTCGTCGCAATAGGCCTCTTCGTAGGGACTGCTGATATTGGCTGCCTGGTAGACTGCTATAGTTGGGTGACACAGACTCAACCACTTGAAGGCCAAAAAGTCAAGAAGCATTTGGCGACGGCTGGGGTTCCTTCTGCGTTCTTTCTGCGTTCTGTTTCATCTGATTGTGGTTGATGCATACAAAAACTTTGACTTCTGCGCATTCAGTTGCACAAATAGAATGTCTTAACTTTCTTTCTGCATAAAAACAACAACCTTTTGAGATGGGAGATCAAGTCCTTATGCTGAGTAGGGCAGTTCCTCATCCCTGTGGCATCTCTTTATATGCTTTGAAAGGGGGGATGAATCGTTGTCTTCATCCGTACATCCCTGGAAAGGACCGTTGAATTTAGTATCTCTACAAGAGGCGTCAATATGTTATTGCAACAGGAGCTTTACCTAGTGACTAACAGGTATTGCAATTCTTCATCAAAAGTGTTCGGAGCTGCTAGTCTTGGTTCATAAGGACATTTGACCAGAGCCAGTGCTTTCGTCAGTAGTATATCTCTTTGCTTGACTCTATGATATGCTAACTCAGATATCCAAAAAAGAATGAAATAATTGACCGGAGGCACAGTAATAGCCATAGGGGAACATCAGGCAAAAGCTTGTATTGGTCTGGAACTGATGTTGGGGCCCGCCCTTCACCTCAGTTCTGAGTTACACACTGTTGGTCCTCACTATATATAAGGTAGAGAGAGAGAGAGAGAGAGAGAGAGAGAGAGAGAGAGAACTGATGGTTGGTTTAGTGAAGAATGGGTTACGAAGGAACTGGAGGGAAAGTGCTGAATTTATGGTCGTATCCCGATGTCGAAGCTGTGATTTGTGTCTTCTTTGCCATAAGGGAATCTTGGGTGGTGATTTGATTTTCTCTGGTACACATGATGCTTTGCGACAGCGAATCCTATATACCAGGACGCAAACGATTCGTGGAAAGGAAACACTTGGGGGTTTTCTCTGTAAGCGATGTTGTTCTAAGTGACTGCACAGTAAACTTGACAAGTCATCTATTACAAACAATGAAACACACTGTGATGCCACCAAAGAAGTAAGAGCTTTTCCAATTTTGATTCTTTGCACATGATTGCGCCCGGAAATTTGCTATGTATGCTCGCTCGTTTGCGTCTGCAGCACGCAGATGTGACATCCTCCCATAGAGCAACTGAGTCAGAGTACCTAAGCAAGCAAGCAAGGCAGGCAAACCTTGCTCTGCATCTCAATCCCTGAGACTTCTTGACCTGCAAGCCATGTTTCAAACTGAGGGGCCCATGAATATTTGTGTTTACATGTCGAACCTGGTCAAATCCTCTCATGTTCGTTGTCGCATGATCTGATGCCCAATTTATTCGGATATTTGCATGGTGTCACCTACCTACTCACCGCAATTCAAGACAACCACGCGAGGGATACGACTTCAGGAGCTGGTGAGTCGTATCCTACTGAGTTATCGTGGTTGATTCTCACAGTCTGGGTACACCGGTGTCTCGATTGGAGGGAAGAATGCCCCTTACACTCTAGTGCTGGCAGCTATTTATTGGGTGTCTTAATTGAGTTTGCTATGGATGATGCCGCAGTCAAAGCGCATGAATACTACGGTATCCAGCCAAAGAGAGCTCTTGTTTAGCTTCTTATGCTTTAAAGCCGCCGGTGACCATGAGAATGAGGCTGGCTGAAGCCATTAGCGACAATAGTGTCTGTCAGCTGTTACATCAGCGGCTAACAGCTCGACGAGCATAAGCTGAAGGTCAGAGGGGAAGCAAGACATGATACACTGTATAACTGAATCTTGTTCCCCCTCTTTCTATCACATGCCCGTAATATCTTCGTGTATTCGCATTCATACTCTCCTTATCATCGTATAACTGGTGTTCAATATGGCTTCAGCTTCAGAACCACTCGCTAAAGGGACATATGCACCTTCGGGTCCAAATGACATACGCGGCCCCTGCCCGATGATAAACTCTCTCGCAAACCATGGCTATCTTCCCCGCGACGGCCGAAATGTTCGAGTTGAAGAAGTTCTTGCTGGCATGGATGCAGTTGGCCTTTCGAAGCCTCTCGCTGCTGCCTTTGCCAATCCCATCTTTCAGGAACGCGTGCCTTCAAAATTTCACGATGACCCAGTCGTCAAGAAGTCTCTTTTGCAAAGTATCTTGCAAACGATCAAGGATCCTTGGTCTCTGTTGGGTCAATTTGGTATGCGCAAGCCGGGTCAGCTGGACTCTGAGGGTCACAGGGTTTTGAACCTGGACCAGCTTGGGTTACCCAACACAGTTGAGCATGATATATCCTTGACCCGCCGGGATCATCAACAAGGTGATAACATAACTCTTCAGAAAGACCTTGTCGAAGATCTCTTGGCGACTTCGAAGGACGGGCAGACTCTCACTGCGAATGACCTCGCAGAATTTCGCAAGAAGCGTATCGCCAGACAGAGAGAGGATAACCCGGGTCTTCAATATGCGTCTTTCGAACACGACCTTGCGTGCGCGGAGATTGCCCTGATTCTCAATGTCATTGGAAGTGGTGAGAGTGTGCCATGTAGTTATGCCCGAGCCTTTTTGCAGGAAGAGAGGCTGCCGATGCAAGAAGGATGGAAGAGGGAAGCGTCGAAGTTGGGTATAATTGGATTGCTCACCAAGAGGAACGGTATCAAGAAGATTATTGGTATGGAATTCAAGTCTTGATGTCAAGGTGATCTCTCGATTTCCTTCTGTAACTATTTCGTCTGGGAAGCTTTTCTTTTCATCTTGTTAAGTAACGGAGGCGAGAGAAAAGGCCAAATTGGTCGGTTTATTCAGAATGATACTTTAACTATCTCCTTATGACAACAACTCCTAGCATGACGACCTTGCCCCTTCTTTCACCTACCTACTAGGTAACCTTGGTGATGTTCATCCTGGGCCCATCCGTTCCATGGCCATGCTTTCATCGTTAAGCTCCTTCCATTTTCTGACATCTTGACCGATAGCTTAGAAGTGGCAAGTGCGGATACGGGGGTTTCCAGTCACGCGGAGATCGTGACGGGTAGTTGCAGTTTCACCAAGGATGACTCCTTCCTGCGAGATGCAGTCGGCCATGACATTGGAAGGTTATTGCATTAAATTCGCGCTTTCTGTAAGACGCATACCTGCATTCAACCTGTCCGGTACCTCTAGGCAAGTACCTTGGCCTCTGACTGACGGACTGTTTTCTCCTGTCACGACCCATCCATCTCATCTTCTCACTTCTATCATCTCCACTGCTTCATAACCTGTCATCCAAGAGACACCCTTGCAAACTCGTCTCATTTGCCGCCTCACTCAAGCCTCTAAATTACAATGCAAAAGGACTGTTCAATCACAATGTTGAGCAACAAGACCCACGGAATACGGCATAAAATACCCTCCTAAAACACTCACCCCTTCCACAATCCTCAAACAGTGACTGACCGACAAGCAAGCAAGTCACTAATATCCCACTATTTCAATAGAGTTGAACACATAATACTCACACTGCGTTCGATACCAGCCAGCTCATCAAGCGCAAGCGTTTAACGCCTGAAACACTTGCATACAGAGACGACCAATCGCAAAAAACCCAAGCAAACGAATACTGGAATTTTATCGAAATACTGAACGATAGAGTGTCTCTTGGGTAGTAGGTTTCCTCTGAGAGATGTTTCACTGATTTGCTAATTACCTGCTCATTTGCACAATACCTGGATCACTTTCTGCAACCATGGTTTAGATGGCTGAATAGGGAATGAAGGGCCAGTCAATGGTCACTACTATCCTTGAGTCTGTGTGAATCTTGCCAATACCTCAGCAAGATAGATCCAAGAAATGAACGCATCAAGAGTGTGGGCTGTTATCTTTCTAACTCTCGTAGCACAACAAATACTCACCACCACAAGCCAGGCTTGTGTTTGGTTTGAGCTTGCGCAGCCACCCGGCTCTCCTTCCCACACCGTACCGTACCGTGCCGTTGCGTACCATACCGACCTTGACGC